CACAGTTTGTTCTGAGTTAAACCACCACAAAACGGTACTGCTGCTCGTACTGTTTGCGACTGAGTCGACACATCCCAATTTCGCTGTTCTGCAATGCTTCCAAAAAATTCTAAGAAACAATGAGAACTTGACTGCTCCAACAATAAACAAAAGTTTTCAAGAAAATGTAAATAAATGAAAAGTTAGTCCTTAGGACAAAGTACCAACCAATTTCAGGTTGCGACCAACCATTTGCTGCGCCACAACTAGCAAAAGAGGGAGGATAATGGCTAGTCCCTGCAATTAATACAGTATCTTCCTCTATTCAACCTTGAAAGCAAACAAGTTGAAAAAGGACATTTGATATAGTATTTCTGCCCATATGTAACCAAACACTGACATCCGAGACTATTATGCCGTATGCTGCTATTGAACGCCACGAATTTCAGGGATACGAACATAACAAATAAAAAGGAACCGAAGATCACGTCACTTTCTATATTCCATCTGCTGGTTTATCATCGATATTTAGGAACACTAAATTTTGAAAAGGATAGGATTAAACCTGATTTACTGCACAAAATCAGAGATCAAAAACTACATAAAACAAACCATTCAGTGGTTCCTGTTCTAAGGAGAACTGGCTGAGAGGCGTTGCCTGCCAGATACCCAATGCTTCATTGATGTTTGCTTCTGAAATATGTCCAATAACATAGAAGGTATAGCACTAAATAAATAATGTGACCGCTTTTATCTTCCAACTTCACATAGCCTCAAATATTGGGAAAACCAAAGCAATGAAATAAAGTCTTACCTAGTGATTTTGGCTCTTGCCAAACAACTTTCGCATTACTATTGCGAAAAGCTGGCGGTACGATTGATCGCATGTGCTCATCGAATGCTGCATTATTACTGTAATCACTAACACCACCCCAACGATTCTGCAAAAAGGCGCTCCTTCAGACAAATGTAGACATAATATGTTTTCAACCAGCACTCAAAGGAAAGTTATTACAATACGGACCGGAAGAACAGCCAATGATTGACTGTAATCATTTGTTAAAACTGCTTGCAATAAAATTCAGATAAATCGCAATAACTTCATTTTCCCTTGCAAAATCCCTTACCTGTTGTTGTTCGATACTCCAAGAACTCAGCGAAGCTGTCTCAGCCTGTGTACTATCAACTGGAGCCCACATGAGGCCACTTCCTTTTACTTCTCTGCGACCTCTCGTTAATGAATTGTGGTTAGTTCCTGGACATATATATGTTCTATTAATAATTCAATAATGAAACTTATGTCGCGTTCACGAAAATGTATTTCTTTCGTAAACAGTAAAGCTACATCAGAAGTGAATATAAAGGCCCAAGCAGTACTGTTAAACAAGTTCCGCATTTCCAAAAATACAAAAAACTTTCCTTATTTATGCAACGTTGAGAAACCTAACTTCCACCTCCTATATGTTTAAATGAATGGTACCCAACAGAAGCATCAGTTGTGACAGCCATATCGACATCCATTGTGCAACCAACAGTATTAGGAGCAGTCACATTTCACACTCATAAATCACGGGAACTATCATTAAGTGAAAGTATATAATTATTCTAACAATAATGCGAACTAGTGACTTTGAGAGAGAAAATGTTTCGCATGATTCGAGTCAAACAAAACAGTTAATTCAACTGATTACAAAAATCATCAGCACTGTCGGTATATTGCAAGCTCACTTATGTTACATTTCAATTCATCATGTCATGAAATTGTTCGCATCAAAAAATCCAAAGAAGATACAGCTGAAAATGGCAATGCGTGAACACTGTCAACATTATGCATCATTTAGATGCCTTAAAAATTTGATTTACAATCACGGGGTTTTACAATCACAATTTTCCATCATTCTAATAAATTTGTAACACTAGCAAACTGTTAACATTCAGTTTATGAAGCTGCTAAAGCAGTAAAAGAACCGAATCAAATTCGATAATCCATCTACAACACGTGATTTAGCGGCAAGCGTATTTCAATCGTAAAACCAAAACGTATAGAAAGTGATCTTTTCTATAAACAAAGTGTATTATAAATTTGCGGCAGAACTGTGTTATGGTATTCGATTTAGTGGTAATAAAAATTACTTCGTTATTTTGCGCAAGGAAAAAAGTCTAAGTTTGGTGCAGATGCAACATGTTATGCATCTACTCAATTCCATGTTGCATTTCCAACAAAAGCTTCATTAAGCGTCTCATCAAAGACTATACTAGGATCAATGGTATAAAAATGAACGTGTAACAGCTTTTCCAATCAATTAAGGGGCTGCTGAATGTGGCTTATAACAAACGTTCTGAACCACGTATGCTATACTAGAATATTGAATGCATGGTCTGTAAACCGTCAGAGAAAAAACAGTGCTCAGACATTCCAACATTTGGTGAATGAATGGTAGTTTATGTAAAAAAAAGTTGAGAACTTATCAATGGCAGTGGCGTAAATAGAAGTACCTCCGTGCCTACCACTTGCATACAGTTCACACAAGTACAATACAAAGATAAAACGCCAAAACATCTCTTAAAAAAAAAAAAACAGAATGAACCACAGTCGACAGTGTAACTACATAATTCCTCCATAATTATGAAGGAATTATATGGTTTAAGCCTATCTACAGTTGTCCAACTTGTATTTTTGTGAATCTGTAACTCTTTCCGCGATATCATGGGGTAATGAAAAGAGCCAAGTCCGATATTAGACATACCATGAAAGGATTTATCCTCTCAAGAGATGTGTCCCACATTGAACAGCAAATGAGAAAATGAGAGGAATAATTATGCTTCTAACATAGACCATGCGATCATCCCAACAAATGGCAATCTAACTGATGAGAACAACCGAATTGTAAACCGAAAAGATGGCCTAAGCAGAAACAAGGGAGAGGGAGATAGGCGTGCAGAAAACATGCCCCAGGATAGACAAACACCAGGGAATCGCTCTTGCAGAGCGCAACACAGCTCACACGAGCACGAAAGAAAATTTGCCCCCATAGAGAGAAAAGAGAGGGAGATCGGATAGGAGAGTGAGAGGGAGGAAGGAAAAGGTAATGCAATGATTGAGGAAGGCGTGCGTGGTGCACATCACATCAAGAAGTGTGATATGCTGCTGTTGCTGCTGTATTAAACGTTCCAGTCGTCAACACAATTCGGAACCTATCTGTCATTGTGCACCCTCCCTCTCAAGAAATGGATTTCCCTAGTTTGGCCATTACCGTGCCCACCGCAGAGCGGTCCATTTATGCTTAGCAATGTCTTCCCTATTGTTATTGGACTTCTGGAAGAGAGCATCGTGTCGCTCGTCCATCTCGCCCTCCAGAACTTTCCGCACCACAGTAACACTAGTGCATTAATCGTAATAATACCTGGAGTAGCAGAGAACGAGACGATGTACGCAGCCTCCACAGAGTCACTCGAAGCGAGCGCAGTCATGCTGCCCCACGTCCCGTCTTCTTCCGCGTCTACCGACCACTCATTTTGTATCTTCGCAATTTACTTTCAGGAGTTCTGCTCTGCCTGCCGAAGTTCTACTTGACAATAACACAACAAAATAAACATAGCACTCCTTCTCTCCTTCGGATCTTTCAGAAATATGCAGTTGAAACAAAAGGGAAGGAAATGTGCAAATTGTCGAAAACTTCGCATATGCTCTGTGAAAAGCATGAGACGATGCCTACCCGATCAAGTCATGCATATGGACGGAAGTGAAGCTCGGCTAGCACAGCGCTCCCTCCACACCTAATAATGCTTACTTCTCTAATCTCCTTTAACATCAATTATTGCAAAGCATATTCCTATAAATCGATCTTCCGCGCTTTTCCTTTTCTCCATCCGGCCAGAAAACATCTCAGAATATCCTGATAACGAATGTATTGCTTCCAAATGTTCTTCAAGATCCACTAAAAGCGTTCATGAACACGAAACTAGTCAACCGCATAGAATAAAAAAGGACATTTAACGGAGTTCTCCGGAAGAGGTGCAAGACACACAACAATCGAAGGACAAAAAGCAGTCCAGAACTGACAACTAACAATGAGAGGTTTTTCCCTCAAATACCGGTTGCGAATAATCGGCGAGGGCAGTGCCTTATTTTCTGTATATCTAGCATTTAACATAAACCTAACCACTTTTGAGATAATTATATTTCGAAGAATGTGGTTTGAAGAAAAAAGTCACTTCACTGAATCTTCTTTACCAAGCATATAAGATGAACGAATTACTTATAAGATTAAACAAACTGCAAAACGTATTAGTTGATAAAAGCCTGCAGTTTAATACATACTAGATGTTCCTAAATCAAACTCTTCCAAAAGCCAACATTAAGAGATAGTGGATCGTCAAAATCGGATACAGTTCAATAAACAATCATGAGATCTGAGAAGGTTTCCCTCATATTGATTACGTTAATCAGATTTCCATCACCCCGAAATCCAAAAGAAACCGATCTCGTCCAGCGGTTTAGCGGATCCTAATAATGGAGAAGATTAACGGAAACCAACAATAGCATAAGGAATCCGATTTACAGAAATCCAGTCGCGAGTTACGTGACATGCGCATAGGTGAAAAAAACAAGAAAAAACTGGAACACTGGGATCATTAGGAACGAACTTGTGGAAGAAATACTATAAGTCGTAGGAAGTAACACCAATAAATAAAATGAATCCAAGCTCACCAAAACTATATAGGAACGCCCCCTGTCATCTTCCCGCTCGATGAACTTGCGCATTGAAACAACCAGCAATCATGTGACCTCTGACATATTCTAGAAAAGAGACACTTGTCCTAACCCAAATTCCTATAATTATAAGCGCCAAAAATTTGTGAAGGGAAGAGATGAAGAGAGTCCTTTAAAATCCTTCAATTTCTCTTCCTATGCGAGAGGTGATGATGTCACTAGATCCAGGGACAGCTGTGTTTTGTTATTAGATCCATACTGCTATATCTCAGTACGCTCTTTCCTTCCCCATCTATTTCGTTCACGTTCATATATCCTTTCCCATTCTAGTAGTCTTCGAGAATGAATCGTCGGAAGAGAAGTTAAGGGGAAGCGGTACGTGCAGCAACGCCAGCAAAGTCAGAGTGGCACAGGCAAGGAGCGTTTGTCCATTCCTCTGTTTCCTTTTCCACACTACTGTGACCGGTTCTCGATTAATGTACCGACCGATCGATGCCCATTCGGCAGCAGCACATATCGTATTCATATTGACCCACATCTGAAGTCATTAGCATGACTTATAATAGTGATTATTATATAGGAAAGAAGAGCTTTGGCTGAATTCAGTATTTCCCATTGTCATATATAGCTATAGATTGAAGTACTTCGATCAGTTTACGTTCATCAACAATAGGCCATTGGATTTCTGTTTTTGATTTACTACCACTGAGAATCCCAGCTTCGATGTGTCCGAATACCGACAACCATAAAATGTGTTCAAACAGTGCCCCAATATCATTTGGAAGCTATCCCAGTAGCGTCATATTTCGTGGGAGGATAAAATACTCATTAAGGTCGTGATGGGTTGACGACATCCTGCTACCGCTCAGCAAATGGCAGTGAAACAAACTAGCTCCCACTTTTAACTCTGAAGAAGTATCGCCATTAAACCGAATAAGAGAATAAAAAGCAAAGTACTTTCGTAAATAGTTTACCATCGTTTTAAAATGTGTCATGAAGCTACAACAAGCAACGCTATTTGACATATGAGATTTTGACATCAAACTTCATTTGAAATTCAAGTCTGACAGAAAAAAATAAATAGTAAATCTGTGTCTTACAACGTCGGTATGTGCGCCAATCTATACAGTACGTCAAAGACATACTTTTATGCATTTTCATAGTACAAACACGAGATTGATCATTTGATATCATAAAACATGAACAAGAATGCACTGCTTCAATGACAGCAACATTTGCGGAAACCCGTACATGTGAATCGGAGGTTAGTTTTATAAAATTTATGGAATTTTGCAGACTATCCAAAGTCGAAAGTTAAGAAGCGGGATATCCCATCAACAAATGGATTAAATGACTAAATCCATTCAAACAATTTCTGTAAAAATTTGAAGTTTAAGTCTCGGTTCACTGGCAATAAAAAAGGATACTCAGGTAGGTACAAACCTAATTATAATGGGGAAGGATATGCATGATCTTACCACGAGTGGGGTGTAACAGATAATTCACGAAAAAGTTCCATTGTTTTTTAAGAGAATTTGCTTCTCTGCACTGGATGCCTCGTAACTATCAAAAATTTCAATAACTAAAACAGTCAATTTTCAAAATCTTTGCCTCAAGATTTCAAATTTTCCGTTTGCCTGTAGTCACTTAATACATGACCTATTAATATTAAAAGATTCATCAAATGACAGCAAAAGCATCAATAGGAAGAAACAAAAGAAAACATCACAGTTAAAAAAAGTATTGATTAGGATAAGTTTTCTTAGCAGAATATCTCGACGTAATCATTCCAGTGTTTCTGAACAACTTAGAAATGTTTTTAACGATAATTTCATGAATGAAATTGATAAAGTGATTTATGCATTGAGTTAGATGCAACGGAATGAAATTAAAATAGTGTACGAGAATTTTTCGAGGTAAATTATGAAAACGAAGTAAACTAAGATTAATTCAGTAACAGGATGGTCTGAATAGGAACTTGAATCCGAGTGCTGTTGTTGTCACTACGCTTATGAAATCAAAAGTAGATTCGTAAAAGAAACTTGAAAGTAGTCAGTGCAGTAGCCCAAAAGCTATGGAAATTCCAGAATTGGCTTCAAAAATCACAAGTAAAAACAAATGATTTTCAGGCGATTGAATTCAATGTTCGTAGTTCTCGTCTGTATTTCGTGCAATGTTTGGAGTACTAAGAAAGTCGATGACATACACACACACACACACACACACACACACACACGCGGACACAAACATGCATACAACACACATACACACACATCATGTCCTATGTAATGAAAGATATAAACACATCGTAATTGAATTCTAAAACAAATAATTCATAATTTAACGATTCAAGGACTGGAACAGAATTTCATAAAAAACTACAGGCATATGTCAATTCAGCATAAAATTAGAGAGAATTTCGTACAATTAATTCCTAGCATCAGCGTCACGACGCCTTCGTTCATATTCGCCATCATTTTCTGACGGACTGTCTTCTCTAGAAAAAAAAAGAGCAAAACTAGATGACAAAAGTTCAACCTTGCATATTCTGAAATAAAATTTAAATTTCTACATAGACGAGAAAACAGTAAGCTATAATCACGACTGAAAGTGGGAAAGTAAGCTTTTGTTCACTTTGGCAACACCTAATTACGTTTCAAGCGACAATTTTGAAACGAACCTATCCCTTTCATTTAGGACCGCAAGCTCAACAACTTCCATTGGCACTTGTCGTTGTCGCATCACATCATCTACATCGTCATCTGAAATAAGAGAATGAAATGGAACTGATATCAATAGCTCTCGCAAATCAGCATTAAAGTAACAAAGTGTTAATCGATATCAGATGTTTACAAGCTATCTTTCTAAAGAGCAGTTCTCGAAATTCACCATTTTCAGAATCTTCCAGATTCTGCTGGTCAACCTGCGGTGCTCCACCAATGTCTGGTGCTTGTGCTACATTATCGGCACTTGGTACAGCAGCAGATCCTGCAGTCTGCTGAAATGTTCCATCCAGTGCATGAGATTCGGGTTTTGGCTCAAGAAAGTCCCAAATAAGTATCGTGTCATCGTGAGAAGAAGATACTATTTGAAACTCATCAAATTGCAAACGAAACACTCGACCCGTGTGCTCCTGAAGTTAAAATATACCATGGATACAAACGTTATGATTTTGATCAACAGTTAACCACTAGTGTTGCTGAGACATCATATAAGCACATATCAACCATAATTCTCTTTCCACCCAAACTCATTATAGCGATATTTCAAATTCAGTTCCTAGAATTGCTACGGAGAAACAGACTGGTTATTTCTCGCCATACGTACCAACACATTTCACTGAGTTGAAACAATTTCCTTGTTTTTTTCTCTTACCCACCACCACCAACATTTTTCATTTTAAATCCCTTACCACCAATGTTAATAAGCATATACTATCTGGTGGAGAACGCGGATTCATTGCTGCTTGAAGATCCCAAACCTTGATTCTTCTGAAATTAAATCGAAGAAAAACAACAAATCATTAATGGTTTTGGATTAAGCCGAAGTTCAAGCATAATGAAAACTTTGACATACCCATCATAAGCACCAGAAACAATACGTTTCGAGTCGAATCGAATACAACGAACAAGTTGTTCGTGACCTTCCAAAACCCTTAGACAAGCTCCTATTTCAATATCCCATAACCTAAAATCAGTAAGGAAATAACGCAAGTATCGAAAATTTCATACGAATATTTTTCTTAAATATAATACATCATTCTATTCCAAAACTGTACAGAAAACCTGATAGTGTTGTCACTTGAACCAGACACAACTAGTCGATCATGATACTGTAAGCATGCGATGCCTCGCCTATGACCGATCATGGTACGTACAAATTCACATGTATCCGTGCTCCAAACCTTGAAATGAAAAAAAGAAAAAAGAAGAAAATCTGTAAAACTTAGCGAGAGGAAACTCATTATATGTGAAATAAAATTTATTTTACACATAATGTAGCTATATAAATTTCAACAAACCAAACTTTATAAAAATGAGTTGTTAAGCTTAAGAAAAACCTGAAGGAAAATGAAGAATCGGAGTTAAAAACCGCACGAAGGGAAAAGTTCAATATAACAAGTAAATATAGCAGTAAATCGGTACTCACTTTAATTGTACGATCACCTGAGGCTGAAACGATATATTTGCTGTCAAAATCTACAACATTAACAGCCGCGCGATGAGCCACAAGCACACGACGCACGTTGATTTCTCGTGGAGAAATCATACCCCAAACTGCTATTGAACGATCCTTCGAACTAAAATTTTTAAATCTGCAATGCTGATGTACCTATGAATAAATTTCCACTGGACAAGATTCAAAAATTCTACATCGAGAGCATACCAGGTAACCATCATCCCATTCTGAAAACGTAAATGCAAAACTGCCTCAACGTGATGCATCAGCGTATGTAATAGTTCTCCAGTATGTACATCCCACACTCTGCAAACATTTTATTATTTCAAAATTTAAGGTTGTAAAAACTGCAAAACTCACGAACAAAAAGAAAAAAAACAGTCAGTGAACCCAAATTAAGGAGGATTTACAGTGTTCGTATAAGGAGGGGAAAAAAGGATGCATTTGCAAAAAAAGAACAGGTTTTATAATAAAAGTTATAACCCTAGAGTAAAAACAACACAAAAGTAACAATAGAAGGCATTATGAAATGCTTGAGAAGTTCATGATATCAACATTAGCTAAAAAAAAAGAATTTAAATTTGATTACGAGAATCTGAAACAGTTAAGTGACGTCATAAACTTCCGGAATTTACGATTTCCACGACACTGTTTCCCTTTAACAAAACCTCAACTTTAACAAAAAAAAAGCAGAAAATTGCTTATTTCTACAAGAACCTAGTAAATATAAAACTATTACAATGTCTGCATACCTAACTGTAGTGTCGCTGCTTCCACTAATGATGACTCGATCATCATATTGCAGACAAAGTACCGAACCAGTATGTCCACGTAAAGTTTTCGAACACTGTAAATCCTTTCGCAGCCAGATTTTGATTGTATGATCTCGGAGTCCCGATATTATTTTATCGTCGTCATACTGCAGACAATATACACCTAAACAGCTTATTACCTTAATTGCCCCCAAAGAAAGTGGAAGCATAAGAAAGGTTCCAAAAAACGCTCAATTAAAAAATAAAGAAAACGGATTTCCAGTGTTATAAGCAATAGTTCGGACATCCGAAACTATGAAGAACACTGTAACACAAGAGCACGAAAAGTTACAGATGAAGCACCTCTACTAGGTTCTGAATGACAGGTAATGCGGGATAGTACATGTCGTCCATTTTGCCAGTTAGATTTGAGCGATTCAATATCTCGATTTATTTTGGGATACAAATTTCTGTAGAAATGATGCTGGGCTTCTAGCGAATCAACTGTGTTTCTGAATGCAAAAAGTTTTATATATCGATAGTTAAAAAACTAACATAAGATAATCAATATCAGTTACAAGTTTTTTCCTGATCCACTGCTGTGAAAAAAACTCATGCCAACAGAAAACTAATATTTTTATGAAAAAGGATAAAGATGGGAACTGTAGATATGTTATTCATATAACATCGGAAAGTAGAAGAGGAGGTTACAGAATCCAAGCCGCAGAATATATTTGCATGACAATGGAAGCAATCGTCACTATCAGATGGAAGTGAAATGAAAACTATAGCTAATTTGCGGCAAATTATATAATTTAGTTATATCTTTGTGATAAAGAAAATCCTTTGTGAATGGATCGCTGGAATGATCGTTCATGAAGGACGATCAGTACAACAATCTATTTATGGTTTCGAATGCATAGCTTAATCGCATTAGATCCATGTAGTTTTATCACTGAATAAATTTTAGTGATTAAAGAATGGAAGTCATCTGTGATTTAAATCTAAAAAGCTAAAACATGGGAATCACCTGAGCTGTTCGATAAGGTTCGGAGAATATCCCAATTCTTGAAATATTAGTGTGTGAGCTTTTTCCTTCGAAACAAACAAAAAGTTTCGCCTAAAATCACTTACCATGAGAAAAAACGGAAAAAAATTGAGTGCATTATATTAATCAAATGTTGGTTCTATATCCGAATTCAGGAATTAAATTTTCAATATCGGAGACATTACCATCCACGTTTATCCACGACTCCTTTCCAGACTGGATCAGTTTGAACGTTTCGCTCAATCAATCGGCGCCAGAGTTTTCCATGCGATATGATTCGTCGCCATGTGTGACTGACTTTTTCACTTGAATTCAGCCAACGAGCATCAAGGAATGACAGAACATACCTTGCTAATCGATCTAAAGATACTGATCCCATCACAGATGAGATAAGGACTTCGGTTCTGATATCCGAAGTCAAGAGTAAATTAAAAAGAAAATACCACCCACTCTTAGTTACAACTTTTTCTAGTTTTCTTAGAATTGTACAACTCAATAACAGAAGGCTGCACATCAAAATCAAGCTTATTTCTTTGGTGTTGCCTTCGTAACAAATTTTGCATTTACTCCATGACATTATAAAATTTTTTTGAAAACCTGGTAGGAAGGCGATGAAGTCTCGCTGTAGAATGGGTTTCAAATATGCATCTATCTGTCCATGTTGATCATGGCACATACTGCGGATAAGAGTTTTCACGAAATCCACCTGATCTTGATCCGTCCAACTGGTAAATTTCTGTAAGGATAAATTGTAATAGGTAATGGATAAAAAACAGTGCCTTTTTTCTCAAAGATACTTGCAAGCTTAAATGTGCAAATTAAAAGATTTTTCAGCTTTATAATCATTAAGAGAATTAATCAGTGCCTCCTAGTGCAATATAACTTGAATCTTACACTCCCTTCGAATGAAAGGTACAGTAAAATCTCCAAATAACTCCTGAGATCCTTAGCGCTCTTTAATGGGAAAATATTTGGACGTCACATACTAGTTGATGCTCAAAAAATACAGATATTTATATCAGTTAAAGTACGGTCGTCTTCAGCATTTTCCACTTTATGAAGTACGCTGCAACAAACACGAATCTGACTGCTTTAGGTATGCTTCGAATATGAAGTTAATAACTCACTTCTAGTACAAACTGCCGTTCGTTCAAGTAAGCTGCACTCAAATTTTTTTCTCTTTCTCTGAGAGAAAGATCTGCCATAAGTTCAGCTGTCGATTCGCCCTGAAGCGATTCAGGCTGTAACGAATAAAGTGTCAAGAATTGAACTTCAGTCCATTTGAGTGGGGCCAAAAACTAACTTAAATGAAAAACATCAAACTGACATCTGCTTTCAAATACTTGAGTCATTAAAAATTTCAACCAATACTTCCAATTGACAAAATATTGTGACAAACATCAATCAAACCATTATGGGCGAAAAATGACTCCACTTTTTACGAAGCATACTGACCGGGAAGATGCTTTCTGCTGGTTGATTTTCCTACTGCTATTGGTCAAGAAAGATTTTAACGACAGCGAGAGTCTCTACACAGACATGAAGGCATAGAAGATGAAATCGTAATTATTTTGTACTGATATCTTTGATTTGTAACGTATTAGTTTTAGGATATACCAGCAATTCGGATCTCTTCTGCATCTTTTTTTTCTAGGAATAATTGAAATGAAAACCATTCCACAGCATTTGGGATCTAACCTAAGAGAGGAGCTACAAAATTAGCCTTTAAAGCCAACACGGTTATATCGAGATGAACAGGCTAGTGAAAACTGCATTAAAGAGATCTAGAAAAAAAAAACTAAACAACGACTTCGTCGGAACAACCATAATGGTCTCCTTGACTGTTAGGAAATGCATTATTTATCGTTGACATCGCTATACTGATTGGAGTTCTTCACTCTTGAACACGTGACTCTAAAAGAACGAAATACAAGATATAATGTCAGAAAACCGAATAGTACACTACAAAAAATGATGTCGTTGTTTCTTTTAGCGTAAGTAAATAATGCAAACGCACAAGAATTACACATTGATAAATTCCTGAGTAAATCTTTATGATCAGGCTAAAACACGAAGATATGTTGGTATCATGCCCTTCTAATCATATGTGGGACATTCGAACTTTAGTAAGACTTCTGTTAATGGTACCACTCTCAATTATCCAACTATTACTTTATTAATGTTATTTGGAAGACAGACATGAAGATAAAACTGTTAACCTAATATGCAAAATTTCAGAATTCAGCAATTTTCAAGTTTCATTTCTGATCAAATACTCATAAGTGTCCGACTGAAGCGTCGCAGGTTTCCACATGCACAGTGAAGGAGACAAATAGATCAGTGTTCGCAACAGTGGACCGATCTAGTACCATTCTCTGACGTGCATTGCAAGGTTCCAAGAATTCACCGGAAAACCCTGCTTTCAACCTACACCACTTCCCGCACAAGTTCCTCCCACAGCCTCTTCCCCTGAATATGAGATCTGCGGCACTTAACAATAACCAATTCACAATGCTGCAGTTCTTGTCACAAAAGTCGACAGAACAGAGAATGTAGAGTGAGAAGGCTGACGTGTAGAGCAGTTGAAGGTGGATAGTTTTGAGGAGAGTGCTGAGAAGCAGTTGATTATCCCATAACGGATTGAAGTGCCGGCTAGTTCTACCCATGATTATCCAGTTTATCACTTAGCATTACTCCATTTTCTTCCTTTTTCTTCCCAGAATACCTCGTTGTGTTTCCCGAAGTCTGGTGTTACTAGATACAGGTAATGGAAATTCACCTTAGAAGAGTACTATGCTAATAAAGGGGAATGGAATAGATTCCTCAAGTGATTCTTTAGACTTTACGTGAGACTTGATGAGTAAGAATCGAAGACGTCAGTATCAATGAATTGGTAATCCTTGTAAATGTGCCCTGTTTAAAGTGATATGTTGAAGGTACTTGCAGTTGGTCCTTTTTGCAGTTAACGTTGGTCCAGAGTTTCGAATTGCATATTTCGGAGGAGTAGAAGATTTTTGTGATAAGCGACTCTAACTTTTGATGTTTTTTAGTTATACTTGTCATCGTTGTTATCGGCTGATTGACACTTTCGTAGCCACTTCTCACTTAGCGAGAAATCGAAAAAACCTGATCTTCCGAAAAAACTGTTGATAATTGCAGGTTGAAGTGGTAGCATTGTTTGTTAAATTGGACGAACAAGAATTAATGAGCATGTTTAAGTCGCGACGTACAGAAATCGGATTGGAAAACATCGAAAGCAATCCGGACCGACTTAATTCTATCTTCGGTAAATCATACGGGCAGTACTGTCAAACTGTTCATTTTTTTTTTTGATATCTTTACTGTATTGTTGCAACTATATTATTTCTTTCGAAAGAAGTTTTATTACTAACATCGTTATGCATCAATCTTATCAGATTACGAACTACGATGATTTTTGATATTTTTACTGTATTACTTAAGCCATCATTGTTTTCTTCAAAATCAAGCACAAATCATCCTTGTTTCAGAAATTATGAATCATGATAGTTTATGAATTGGTAAAATTAAATGTATGATAGATCATAATTTTTAGTCGAGCTTACTAAATATACCCAACTTATTTCTTTATTGATGACATTACGATCATCGTTGCTAGCAACAGTTCGTTTTTTTCCTATTAAAGGTAAGGTATGCATTTCATAATATAGACATGCGTAATCCCCATCTTTCAGACATTGTGAATCATTCAACGGCTTATCAGCAAGGATCATATTTCATAAAAGAAATGGAAATGGTAGAGTTTTTGTTCAGTAAGCATTTTGTTGTCTTTATAATATTCGCTAAATGATATTGTTGCTTTGAATGCTTAAAAAAAGATGTTGCTTTTTTTGTCATTTTTTCATATTTTATATTTTTACCATACGTTTCATGTCACATGATTTTGCAGCTTGAACAGCAAATTGGAACTGGTAATAAAATAGTACCTTGTGATTTATCATATCAGTTGACGTTTCACAATGAAGAACAAAGAACGGTATGAATTTCAGTTAGCTTGTTATGAACGAAATTCATTCGTATGAAAATGGTCTTATCAATATTTGTCCGTTTTTACCGTGATATGCACATAGTGTATTGTAACGATTAAAATGTATAATGCAGTAATTCATATAATGTAACACATTTTCTGGTGGTCACTGATGTATGCCTGTGGGACCCATACAGAATTTGCTGTATTTGAAGTCTTTGAGAATATATCTATTACGCTTTTTGCAACACCATTTATTTTTCATTCTAAAGCGAGATAAAGTTGGATTTATAGAATATATCTCGACAATAAATTACTTTGCACGTATTGATCAGTTTACTGATTTACTTCACAGCCCCTTCAGAAAATTTAGTTTTGATGTAACATTTTTTAATTTTTTCTTTTCAAGTATTAGTTTTGTTTGCAGTTTATGGAAAAAAAAGTAGAGCAGAAACACAAATGTACTGCTAGTGCTTGGAATGTGGATGAATCTATGGAGCAGGTTGCGAATTGGATATTCATTACATTTCGACCTTTTTTTTAAGCATTTGAAATTCAACTGAAGGAATTATGATGGTTAAGGCTGTCTTTTTTTATTGGTCTTATTTATTTTGATACTGCAGATAATGAAAGAGCAAATACAAGAATGGAGTCCTGCTACTGAAAATACCTGTACATATGCAATCACTAAGGTAGAGAAACTCCCATCAAGAAAATCTACTTTTAAAATATTATTGTACTGAGTTCAAGTTCAATCTTTTCCAAATATCATATTTTAATTCAATATGCCTTTTCCTTCTGTCGAATCCATTACAGAAAATTGTGTGCTTATCCTTGGAATTCGTCATTTTGTCATAAAACGGTAATACACCACTGCAAAATAACAGAAAGACATGTTTTTTGGCTAGAATAAATAAAAATAACTGAAATGGTGTTTCAAGATTGATGATTATTGCTACAGTGGCGGTCGAAACATTCGAAGCACTTCAGAGTCTGCAGAACCTCGTCCATCAGTGAATGTCGATTGCAACCACTTATACATGGTGGTTCTATTTCTGAAATGTATTCCCTAAATTTAGAAAAATTTAACATTTACCTTTTCTTTATCCTCTTTTTGTTATCCTTTTTTGCCTGATGATATTTTTATCTAACTGAAGAGTCTGCTTTCGTTGTCTTGTAGCTCTTGTACTGAAAATTTTGAGTAATGAGGTTTTGAAGTTCTCTTATGAACGCTTCTGATTTGTTAAGGGTTCTAGTCAATAGTGGTATAAGTGATATTCTTTTTTCTCGCTTTTCCAATATGCAATCTTTGAAGATTTATTTCAGTTCACAAAATGTTCCGTTCTTCCAATGCGTATAGAACATGAAAGTGGTACTGTTAAAGCTCAATCTTATTCATCAAAAGAGGAAGGTTGGCTATATTTTTTCATTATAAAATACTGAGTTTTAATGTACTTTGAGGAATTCAAGTATAAGTGAAGTTGTTCACTTACTTGGCTTTTTGCTAGCAGTTGTCAATTTCAAATTTTTGATGCCGTAAATGCAAACATACAAAAAAAAAAAGAAAACACCTGGTTACATTTTTAAACCGATTTTTGGCTTTCTATTTACGGTAGCATTGCAGCTTGTAGCGAACGTTCTGTTTTCTTTCCTGATATTTTTTCTACAAAATATTTGGATTTGATATTTAGCAATCAAGTTTTCACCAGAAACAATGCTGGTAAGTTTTTTCTGGGAATGATATGGTCTAGGTTTGAAATGAAATTCGAATTAGAGCTGGTCTTGTTAATAATTACGCTCAAAATGGAAACCTCTTGAAAGAAACAAAAAAATCCCGAACAAAGAAATCACGAATGCCTGCTCTTCAATAAACATGATTCGAGATAACTTGTTATTTTTGCTCTTTCCATTCATTCAACCGTTTCTTTACCTGTTTATCGGAATTTCTTAAAATAATTTTAAGAAATATGTAATACCAAAATTATGCAATTATGTCGTAATTTTTCACTTTTTGTTTTATTACTTTTTGCTTTCAGCTTCCAACTAGTTTCACTTTTTCAGGAACATGCACAAATGAGTTGTGTAAAGTAAATCGTCGTAATCAGAGACAGGTTCGTAAATTTTATAATTTCTTTTGGGTTATCAAACACATGTATGAATTTGCTTATTTCAGTGTTGCAGGTCCCATCTCCACCTTGGCAACAGTTTCTCCATCGTGTTCGTGGTAGATTCATTGCAGATACGAGAAGGCTGATGAAGCTTCAAGAAACTGTTGAACCTAACAACGTCCATGATTGTGACTTTTTTAAGAAAGAAGTAATTTTTTTGATAATTTTTTTTATGATAGAGTGTTTCCACCACATTGCTATATAGTAAGCTTGTATAAATTCCATGGACTATTTCACGATTCTCGTTTTTTTTTTTCAAGTTAGAAAATAAAATAACTGCTCAGTAAGCATTTAGATTCCAAAACGAAAGTGCAGAATAGAAATTTTTGATGAAATACATACGAAACATATGCAAATGCTGGAAAAATCACCGCATGCCACAAAGTTGATTACGGAGTGAGTAACAGTTAACTATGGAATGAATCTTTAGCAGCTAATCAATTTCCTCGTAAAGATTTCACAATTGATGAATGTTCAGTTTTTTATTAGCGTCTGTTAGTTAGATTTTGGGTTGGTTGTTTACAAAGTTCATATTGATGTTGAACCATTTAAGGGAAACTTGTACTTATAATTTGTGAATTGATGGTCTGAAACACTATGAATATTAATGGTTTAGACTTATGAACCATGAAATAGAACGTTTTTCATGCGGATTGCCAGTTTATAACATCAGGAAGGATATCAAGAACACTCTGTGTAATCAGGTTGGTGTGTTCCTGTTTTATGACTTTATTTGATTATTTGATTTTCAATTTCTAATAGCTTTATTATCCCGAAGTTTATATATTGGTTACCTATACTTTGTCGTTAAAGTTTTCCTTATTATTGTCACATTATTCCTTTTAAATTTAATTTGTTTTAAATTGTCAGTTTAGGGAAGAGTATTGATTGTAGTAGCAGATACTGGTTCGGGTAAAAGTACACAGATTCCGCAATATCTAGTATTCGATGGCATTATTACCCCTTCGCAAAAAATTCTGTGCAGTCAGCCGCGCAAGGTTTTTCTTTTAGCATTATTTGTTGGGGATGTATACAAAATTCCTCGAGTAAGAAATGTAAGCATTCTTTTAGACTGCTGTATGCGAACTGGCCGTGAGAGTGGCGAAGGAGACGTCGCTGATTAACTACTGTTTGGTTAACGTCCCCGTATATGAAGATGGGTAAGCTTTTGCATGCTTCGGGATGAGATAATTCATTACAGTTTTTATCTGATGTTATAGTTCAGAAGTTAGTCATGGTGCGTGCTCTCTGAAATGTTCTATAATTTGCGTGCTCTTTGAAATGTTCTATAATTGCTATGTCTTTTCAAAATTCAAGCAGTTTCATCAAGACTTATTGTGTCATTTTTTATTTTCACACTATGTTATCTGCATTAACCAATGTATTTCAGGCTGAAACCTAATTTGAATGCAAAAATAAATTTCATAACAGAGAAGCATCTTTTGGATTGTATACGAAATGATCCTGAATTATCACAATTTGGATGCGTTATGATTGATGAAGTTCACGAAAGGACTGTCAATACTGATATGTGTTTGGGGATGATGAAAAAAGTGCTTAGATTGCGGTCGGATATAAAATTGGTCAGTTCCGTTAGAAATTTTATAATAATACTCAAGATTTCTAAGTGTTTGGTTCTCTTTCTAAGTCCTAATCTGTTGAGTAGTCTTGTTTTAGGTGATATGTTCTGCAACACTGGATCCAGAACCACTATTGAAATATTTCTCTGAGTTTCAAGCAAAAAAACTAGAAGTTCCAGGACGTCAGTACTCTATCGAGATTTGTTACGAGCCACCAATTTCTGGATGCAGGGGGTTGGTGTGAAGTTTTTCATATAGATTATAAAAGGCGATTTGTGCTTCCTAACTTACCTTTTTGCACGCATTTCATAGGTAAGGAATGGATTCACATCAATATATAATTTATTTTATGATCACTCCATTATAAAATTATCCTTAATATGTATCCCACCGCTTCCGCCCTTTTTTATTCCCTCAATGACAAATATAGCTAGTCTTTCAACCCTTAGCAAGACTGCTTTTAATAATTTGTTACGGCTATTTTTGCTTTTTTGTCTCGCTATCCGTTTCCATGATTCATTTCTTTTCTTTCCAGAATTAGAAGTTTGATGCTGGATTATGTCGACCGCACAGTGGAAAAAGTCATAAATATTTGTGAGAAGGAAGCTAAGAAACAGCCTTTTGAAGACATTTTTTGGGAAGATAGCTTGGAGACACATGCAGCACATATTATGGCTTTTTTATCAAAGTATGACAATTATTGTTGGAATCAACTTTTTAGTACCGTTTGTCTAAATTCTTTAAATATTGTTCATAATTATTATTCAGTACTTAGTATGTAATAATTGCTAACTGCAATCTAAGTTTGACATAGAACTGGAAGCTGCTTTATTTGATTCGAAAGTAACTCCCAATTTTAATTCTTTTCTCAAGAAAAAAGTGTTTCATATTCTTATTTAGGAACTTATTCTAATGTTTTTTATTTATTGCTTCCCTTTTATTTTTGCTGTAGTTTCTTCTGAAGATCATTTTTAGTCCTCATGAAACGCTGATAGCTGAAGACCGTCTCTCCAAGCGACTAACGGAACTTAAACATAGCGTGAAGGTGAAGATCGTGACATTATACGGGAAGATGCCAGTTGAAGATCGAATTGAAATTTTTGCTCCTTTGAAATCTGGATATCACCATAAGGTTGTTAGGCTTTGCAAGCTTTTGTGATTCATTGTTATTGTTATTTTATAAACATGTCATTTTCATCCTTAAAATTCCATTGCAGGTTATCTTTGCAACAAATGTCGGTGAAACTTCGATAACTATTCCAGGTGTTCGATACATTGTAGATTGCGGGTTAGCGAAGGCATGCCTCATTTCTTCCTTTTGATTTCCTTGCACAATCTAGGTGTTTAAAAGTTACTTTTTAAAGTTTTGGCTTCTAATATGGCTATCCTCTCAAATGACTACTATTATTTAGGTTAAAAAATTTGACACTACCAAACGAAAAAATATCTTAGAACTGAATTTGATATCGAAATCTGCAGCAAAACAACGAGCTGGAAGAGCCGGAAGAACAGCACCAGGTTTTAAAAGATTTTTCTAGTAGGAAATGATCTCTTCAAAGGATTCGGAGAGGGGTTTGTTTATCATCATACTATTTTAAGTCATCGAGATACGTTCCAGTTTTCTTGACCGATGGAGTTGCGTTCGAATTAAGAGTCGTAGGAAGTCCATCGTATGTGACTGTTTAAGACAAAAAAAAAGTGGATTTCTTGACATATGCAGAAGAAAAGTAATGCAAAAAATTGGCTTACCTATTCCAGCTGATGAGGTATGATTGATTCGCAAAGAAATGGAAACGATTAATTTTATTTTAACTAAGATAAAAAGAGATAGAGGTGTAATACTTACCTAACTTCTGGGCGCGCAACTGTTGTTATCGTCAGCATAGTGATTGAATTTCGCTTAGGGATTTGCTATCGCCTTTACTCGGAAGAACAATATGAAGAAATGGAATCCACAAACGTTCCAGACATCCTTCTCACCAACCTTGCTGAAGTAGTGTTGTACCTGATATCAGTTGGTATTATGAACCCTGAAGAGTTTGATTTCATTGAAAAACCGGATTCGAGTGACCTGATGCATTCGCTGAGACTTTTGAGGTATGTTTTTTTGATCCATTTCTTCAACATTTGGGAAACTGTGCAGTTTCCCAAATGTTGAGGAAACACGGCTGTTTAATGAAAAATTGCAGGTCTCTTAAAGCCATTGAGTGTCGCGAAACCATGCTAGTTGTAACTCAGCTAGGTAAAATGATGCAACAGTTACCTGTGGAGCCACGTCTAGCAAAAATGGTTTTGGATTCTGTACAGTACGATTTAGTGGCTGAAGTGGCGGTCGTCTGCGCTTGCGTTCATGTCGGGTCACTCTTCAACCGCGGAGATAAGCGAAATGTAATATTTTGAAATATTCGAATAGGAAATGACTTATCATCCGACATTTGCACTTTCTGATTTTTCAGGCTACCTTGTAACGACAATATTTTCATTTACATTTATATCATCCAAAGTCTCTGTGGTGTGGATGAGAAAAAAAAACAGAAATTAGACGGTGTATTTATTCTTTCATGCTTACTGAATAAAATGCAACATACTTCTTCCATGCTATTGCTTTATTTTCAGTTATTACTACTTCATTACCACTGAAATGTAGAAGACAATTTATATCTCTTCTCCTACTTAATTATTAATTCATATCCGTAAAATCATTGTTATTTTTGCTAACTCATAGGATTTCTTTGCATTGGTGAAATTTTGTCAGACAACAGCGGAAAAAAAATTGTCAGATAACGACAAAAAATATCTTATATTTCTGGTGTGTAAGATATGTGCGTTTTATAATGCGATAAATTATCAGATCAATTCCTTTCAGAAGTTCGTTCTAGCAGATCAAAAGAAATTATCATTCTGTGAAGACAGTGGTGATCCAATGACATCTTTAGCGGTGAGTTTAGCTTTTTGATGCATGATTAACCGATTAGTTTGAATGAATCTTTGGAATGGATGCTGAGATTTTTTTTTTACTAAGTTCCATTAATTTCTTTTTCCTATTACCCTATTTCTGCTAGTAATTGCATATATCACTCAGAAAAACGAGGAGGAACTGTCTATCATAGAATGTTCACAATGATAATAGTTTTATCAATTTGTTTCGACTAATGTTTTGAGGAATTGGTTTGTTGTGTTGTATAAGTTATTCTTTAGGTGTTCTTGCAACACATAGGAACACCAAACAATCGATTCAGACATTGGTGTTTAGAGAATTATGTGAATTCGAAGCATATGAAATCCGTGTTTAGCATTGCCTATAAGATCTGCAAAATTATGTCTCACCTTACGGTGAGTATGCATTCAACTCTTCCTTTCTTTTTTTACATTCTACGAATCATATTTGACTTTTGAATATGTTGTTTAACGATTTGAATATTTTCTGATGTTTATCATTTGTTTTGGAATAGAAACTAGATGCGTAGTTATATAT